CTAGGTTGACTATGTTTAATAGATAAAGCCTCCACTTTATCTAGCAGCCCTTCCCCTAGGGGTGGATGGGGTGATCTTACTGTAGCGTTTTGACACTCTTCTTGTCATTCTTTTTGTTTTAAATTTCTTTTCAGGTAGCTCAGAGTTTCAAAGAGCCGCAGGATGACAGAGTTCTAGTATAGTTACCATCACGCATTTTAGTAGTTAAGACTCCATTATAATTTTATATTCTCATTCAGATATTAGAGTTTTATTTTCATATTGTTAAGGAAATATGCCTTAGTACGATTTTTTGTTGATTCATGTTGAGGCATTTTTATTATTCCAGATATCAGATGTATTTTAGATGAGACATGATTTTTATTTATGAGATATCTCTTTCTATATCATGTCTATTAATTTTATCTCATTATTTTTCCTATTTTGTACCAACACTTATATTTGATTCCACTAGAGGATATTACTGTGATTGGTGAAACGTGTTATTACACAGTGTGGGTGCATGACAGGTTTAATATCTCTGGTTTCACCTTAGACTGCAGCCATGTGTGAAAACCAAGATGTCATAGTTAGTATTAGAGCTCTAGTTCACGCATCCTTAGAATTATCCTGTGTCGACTCATGGAGTTAGAATAGAGTTTCTTAGGATTTATGTATAGAGTCCGCTAGGAATTCCAAGAATGAGTGAGGATGTTATATACGTATACCTCAAAAATTATGACTTTTTTTATGATTATCTTACTTTGATTGAAAAGTATTTTCATGAATGATATATGATACGATTTTCATATTGTGATACGTTATGCGATATATACATATATGTTTGCGATCTCAATTATTGTGTCTAATAATCTCTCCTCCCGATAACATAAATGTCAGGATGAGGATGTGGTCGAGGTAGAACCCGTACCTAGAGAGCTGGGTAAGCAGTGCCCGAGTCGCAGCAAGCTCCACAGTATCAGATCGACTTGGTAACGCTGATTATATAAGCGGAGACTAGCAACAATAAAGGAGTGAGTAACAAACTAGACTACACTTTCTGAAGTTCCACCAACAATAGTACCAGTCGTGCCTATTGAAGTGGTAATACAGACAACTATACCATCACCACATCCAGTTGTTAATAGAGTAGCAGGGTGCGAAGCTTGACTCATTAAGATTGAGGAAGATAGGAGCACCAAATTTTTTGGACACATCAGATTACGTTGTAGCTTACAAATGGAAGGAATATGTGGGAAGTATTATTAGATACACTTAACGTCAATTTAGTACATAAGCAGAGGTTAGCTATATTTAGCTTAAAGAGTAACGCAGAGGGTAACACTGACTTCAGTTTGCATCGAAGCAGCGAAATTCAATTACATGGGAGGATTTCACCTACTATTTTGATAAGCATCTAAAACTAGTTGATTTGAGCACGGAAACATACCGATAGTTAATGATGGAAATAGAACTGTCCGAAGACAAGGGCAAGGGCAACAAACCTTTTACAAGACTTAGAAGACCCCAGCAGCGGGGCAATAATTTTCATGCTAGAAGCAGAGATGAGGACACGGGTAGCATCATAACCATGGTTAGGGTCAGCAATAGCATAGCCGCGGTTACTGCTAGAAAAAGTAGAGGATAGAGGCACCACCTACCATTCTGAGGATTGAGTGGTCAGCAGGCCAGATTCATGCTATCCACAAGGTTCCTGAGGAACAGATAGTCGCTAGCAGTCCAGTAGTCACCAGCCATCGGTAGGATATATGCAGTTGTACCACATGATCATGGTGTGAGCGGGGACATGGTGGAAAGTACTTTCATAGTGAATTCCTTCCCTACTCGGATCTTGTTCGATTCAGGAGCTTCACATTCTTTTATCTCTTATACCTTTTTGGATAGGCTCTAATTGATCACACATTCTTTAGATGTACCATTATCCGTCTCTACTCCTTTAGGAGAGGTATCCCAATTAGAAAATATCTGTAGGAGATGTGTTATCAGTCTAGATGAGTCCGAGTTTATCATTGATTTGATCGTCTTGTGGATATCGTAGTTTGACGTTATTTTCAGTATAGATTAGCTATCAGCCTACCATGTCAGCATCGATTCTTTTGCTAAATCAGTCAGCTTGCGGATGTCCAATAGGTCTGAGTTGATCGTAGTGACCTGACAGGGTAACCAATTTACGAAGTCATTCTTAGAGTATGTAATGATCGTAAACTTTCGATACTAGTTAAAATATTTTTTTGGTATTTTAAAATATTCAATTATTATTTTAAAAGCATATCTGCATTTTTCTCGAGTTTCTAGAATTTTTTATGATTTAAAAGTCCAAGTTTTATATTTATTTAAATGATTTAGATATTTATAAATTTATTTAGTTCAGTAAAAATTTTTGAAATTTATCCGTTATGTTATCGATACTATTACATATCATTTTAAATAATATATTGTATTATTATTATTATTATAAATTATTTCATATAATACATTGTATTATTAATTACGTATTCACTAGTGGAAAACCAGGTATCGTTGACGGGCATTCCCGTCAGGAATGGTTAAAATCCCGTCGGTGATAAGTATCCTTGACGGCATCCCATCAACGATACGCCGTCAGCAATAGTCCCGTCAGGGAAAAACTATCGCTGATGGTCGCCGTTAGTAATGCTTATTACTGATGGGAATCCGTCAGGAATGGTTAAAATCCCGTCAGCGATGAATATAACATCACTTATGGGAATCCGTCAGTGATTTTTGTTACTGACGGCTGTTCGTCAACACTGTACAAATTATTGCTGATGGGGAACCCGTCAGCGATAACTATCGCTGACGGGATCTCGTCAGCGATATATGCTGACGGCGATCCCGTCAGCGATGTTATATACAACACTGATGGGGATCTCGTCAGCGATAGTTATCGCTGACGAGTTCCCCATCAGCGATAGTCATTACCAGCTAAAAAAAATCAGCTGCTTATATCAGTTCCCTGTACATATTCCCTGTACATACAAATCTGCAAACATCTCTTATTCAATTTCCTGCACATTCACATCTCGAAATATATCCAAATTTCACAAACATCTCTCATTCAATCAAATTTCACAAATATTTGAAATATGTTCATTCAATTTTCACAATATGTTCATTCAATTTCGACAATAGGTTCATTCAAATTTCACAAACATCTCAAAATATATCCACAAAAAATTTCCACAACAAATCATAAGTTCTAAATACACGCATATCATAAGTTCTAAATCCACGAAAATCCCATAACAAACTATACACACATATCATAAGTTCTAAATCCACAAAATTTTCCACAACAAAACATATACGCATATTATAATCTCAATATAAAGATGTCCAATATACAAACCATACACGAGTTTAGGATATAACTCACTAAGATAGGTCATCCTCCCTATCCATGTCATTGTCCGCATCGCCACTGGTGGCTCCATCCCTACGACTCGTGCTCCCAATAGCATCATCTCCACTCCAACAACAAAATAATTTAAATTTAGAATCACATAATATTGTGTAATCATGTTTCACATATATAATAAGTATCGCAAAAGTAGTAGTAGGTTGGATCACTCGCATAAGCTCCTCTTTAATATCCTCCCACATCTCCTCGGGAATCTGACCATCTAACATATTCATCACAGAGGATACAAGCTGCATCACCTGCTGAGTGCAATCCTCCTGCGGCATGTAAGAGGGCCTCGAGGGCGTAGTCGATGGTGTTGAAATCGGCGGAGACTGGAATTGTGTAGACACCCTCTGAGCTCCAACTCCCATCCACCTGGTCCTCCCCTTTTTGGGAAGTCCACAAACTAAATGGCTCACATTATAATTCTGCTCTCTAGTTAGGGGCTCCATGCTCTGTGCAACAACCTCAGAATATGTGTTTTCCAGAGCTTCCTAAAAGACAAAAAAATAAATTTAAGAATTGACCTTTCAAAAATAAAAGATATATTTACCTGAACAAGTAAAATAAAAGATGAAGTATGCATGCATCTTCCTTAACACATTCACACATATAATAATCTTTATTGAGGGATTTAGTATTGAAAATACCAATTTTTCTATAAACATTATTTCTATGATGTTTGGGAATGGCTAGTTTTTAGCCTTTCTATATATTCATCAGAAACAAAAGTGGATGTAATTTGAAGGTGTACTTACTACTGGTTTCTAATTAGGGGTTAGTTATGAAAAGAATTTGAAGGGGTATGATTAGGTATGCATGTAACTATTTTATGTATGCATGTATGTATTTTAACATATCTTAGAGGGTTCTTCGGGTCAAAAAAGTTCTAACATCCTACACACTAAACTTAGACGGTTCTTTGGGTAAAAACAAGTGAATAAAAAGTCTCCAACTCAAAAAAAAAAACATTGAAAGATAGCACAAGATTTCATACACTGTAGTAAGAGAGACAGAGGACTATTATGATTACTCCTTAAACTTATTGCCTTAGATTAATAGACCATGTGCTTACATTAAAAACAACATGCATATGCACTTAAAAGACTTGTGCAAACAATAAATTCTCAACAAAAAAATAGACGAGTATCATATGTCCATAGTAAAATCATTAATTGTCCATAGTAAAATAGCACGTAGTCTGAAAGACTGCTTTGCATGAGTATCATATGTCATAACCCCTTCAGTCCAGAGTTGTTTTAACTCATCAATTAGCGGTTCTAAAAACACATCTATGTCATTGCCTGGTGCATGCTTGCCCGATATCAATAATGAAAGTATCATATACGGTTATTTCATGCAAAGCCAAGGTGGTAAGTTGTAAGGTGTTAATACAACAGGCCATGTAGACCAACCAGAACTCATTATCCCAAATGGGTTGAATCCGTTGCTAGACAAACCTAGTCTAACATTCCTGCACTCATTCGCAAACGAAGGAAAAAGTTCTATTCACATGCTTCCATGCCTCTGCATCAGCTGGATGTCTGATTTTACCATCATCAATACGTTCCTCCATGTGTCACCTCATTTGCTTAGCAGTGTCCTTATTCATATACAACCGTTTTAGCCTTGGTATTAAGGGAAAATGACGCAGAACCTTTGCTGGAATCTTCTTTTGCTTAAACATAGCCCTTGTTATCCCACGTGTTGAACAATTTTTACGTTGTACCCACCGTGGTATTCCACAAATTGGACCCTCCTGGAGATCTTTTTTATCTTTATAGTAGAGGATACAATCATTAGGACATGCGTCGATTTTATTGTAATCAAGTACTATAACAGAAACAATCTTCTTTGCGTTATCATAATTTTCCGATATGCTCTCTTTTCCATTTGGAATGACTTTTCTCAGCAACACAAGCAACATATTTAAATATTTATCTGCCATTCCACTAAGAGACTTTATACGCAAAAGACGGAGCATAAATGATAACCTGGTGAACTCGTTGCAACCCTCGTACAGATCATTTTCATTATCGTCTATTAATTTCATTAACTGCTCCAGCTCCTCATGATCTGTCACGCCACCTACATTTCCTGACTCGTCAGCATCCTCGGCATAATCAGATTGATCTATATTAGGAACTGTTAACATATCTGCGAGCATCGTATATGTATCATCTATTCTCGTATCATCTATTCTCCCACCGGAAGTACCGGTACCCCCTATCAGTTCCATTTCTTCAAGACATCCTTCCCCATGAAACGTCCAATATTTGTACTCCTCATAGAATCCTAATATTAAGTATTTCTGTAAATCATTTTTATCCACCAACGCCCTATTTTTACACCAACAGCAGGGACAATACACGACATCACTATTTAACTTCCGTGGGTCTTCCAAGGCGTACTGTATGAATTGATTTATTCCATCTTTATATCGACTATTCCTCCATCTATCAATACGGGGAATATCAATCCATGATTTGTCCGGAACTATCCTCATAGATCTATATGATATTAAGCATAATTAGGTAATGTGAATTTTTATTAGTAACGCTTTAAATTAAAGGTTGCGTGATATTAACTTTCTTCACGACATCAAGGAAATTTTAATTATAATAATCTCGGAGGGAAAATTACCCGAACATAAATTATGTGGGAGTAAAATCTAACACTCATATCTGAAATAAGACAATTTAACGGCTGTCATAGGAAATGGACCTATCCCATTAGGAATATAATAGTGTTTACAACTACCTTTATATACTTTACGCGTTTTTATTTCTTGAAAATTTCGACAACACCTACCCATAGTTCTCCGAGTACACTGTGTGGATGTTATAATGCATATCAATCATCGATTATAGATCGATACACAAAACAACATACGCTTATTATACACGGAGAACAATGCGGTACGTGTTATCAAAATTTATAAGGAATAAAAATGCATAAAGTACACAAAGATAGATGATACACTACTGTATCCCTAACCTGTACGAGAAGGGGACTCCTCCCCGGACAGATCTAATAATTATTGCATGTATATCATGCTCCTAACATAAATCATGTTATTCTCTTTATATGTAAAAAGTACTTTCACATCCAACCAGAATTGCGTGAGTTTATATAAGAAGAGATTCACATCCAACATTATTAGATGGGAAAGTAGGGGTAACGACTTTCAATTCATAAATCATGATATATAACACAATAAAACTTGTAATTACCACAAGAGAATAAATTAACCAAAAGAGAATAAAGACCCAGAGAGTAAATTAGCACTTAACATTTTTATAATTGTATTGTTCCCGTTTATTGTCATATTCATCACTATACATATCCTCTTTTATTTATTTATTTACCATATGAAGTTGTATTTTTGTCATAATAGATTTTTTTTAAATATTTACAATATTCTAAAGATGGATAATTTAGGATAATTAAGCATAAATATGATAAAAATAATTGGATGTTTAAGTACCATTTAGTCATCCAACTTATCATACTTGTATTGTAAAAGGACCATGTTTCTAGTATGAAGCTTATCCTTTTACTTGTGAAATTATGATACTACCAACGACATTTAACTTTAATTTTGTATTATTGTAATATAAAAACTAACCAAATTAGGTAAAAAAATTTGATTTGTAAATTTAATAAACCTAGTGACATGTGTGGGTGTGTTGACTAAAATTAAATGGTAAGCCATTTGATTTGTAAATTTAATAAACCTAGTGACATGTGTGGGTGTGTTGACTAAAATTAAATGGTAAGCCAGAGTTTTAATAGGGATTATGATTCTTAACTTAGAAAAGCAAGAAGAGACTAAAATTAAATGGTAAGCCAGAGTTTTAATAGGGATTATGATTCTTAACTTAGAAAAGCAAGAAGAGCTAGGGTGGGGAAGTCCTTGTTCATGTGATCGGATATAGTTGTTGATTTATCTTCCAGGCTCGCACCAGTGACCTTTTTTGTCCTGCGGTTGGTTTGTTGGTCCAAGTGACCTGTTTCGCCACTTGGGTTCAGTATAATTATGTATCAAAATTGCAAGTGCATAATTTATTAAGTTATAGTATAAAAATATCGATCCCACGAGGAAGGTGATTTTAAGAGATTATTAGAAATGGTTCTTATGTTTTGTATGTGACAATTAGGATTAAAGAATAAGTGTGATTATGATGAGTGGTTGTTTTGATTTATGTGCAAGAGATAATAAATTGAATTGTAGAGAAGAAAGAATCAAAGAATAAATAAAATCACAAGACAAGAAAGAAGAATGAATAAAATCAAGAAATAAACCAAGAATGGAAAGAACATTTAAGAAAATTAAGATGCAGGATTCAAAAGAGGTAAGAAATCTAGAAAATAATCCACTAACAAATTTTAATTACAAAATATAAACTATTCTCTTTTTATCATATTTCAACTTAGATTTATTAAGTATAGATTATCAAACCATTTAAGATAAACATAACCTATCAAATTATCATCTAAGTAAAAATTACTATTAATGATAAGAACAACAACATGATAATAATCCTTGAATTCATAAGCATAACATATCAAACCATTTAAGATAAGCATAGATTATCAAATTCTTCTTCTACTGATTAGTTCTCTAGTTGATTATCCTTGACATGAACATTTTAAGTGCGAGAGAATAATTCATACAATATAAAGGAAATTAGACTAGTTTCATATAATTCTAAACTTCCTACAAGAATTAAATTCACATCTTTAAGAAATAAAAACAAGAAAAAGAACTAATTATAAAAATAAAAAGAAAAGAAAAATCTAAACTATGAACAAGAAATAAATCTAACTACAAAGAAAATAAAAATCTAAACTACAAAATATATTACAAAAATTAAATGCAAGAAAATAAATCTATTGTACAAATTAAAGTGTAAAAAGAAATAAAAAGACAAGAAAATAAATCTACACTACAAACATGAATTTAAATCTAACTAATAAGCAATAATAAAAAAAATTAGTAAAAAGAAATAAAAGAGAAAAGAAATGCAAACCTTCAAATTGCTCTTCATCTCCATCCTCATCATTCAACAAAGAGGAGAAAGAATAAATTTAAAGTGAAAAAAAATTATTTTTATTTATTGCAACTAAAGTTACAATTTTTTAATGGCCTTCTCAATTAAAAGTAGCCCTCCTCTCCAAATGGAGTTACAAAATTTTTTACACACTTAACCCCTCACTTTCTATCCCTATTTATTATAATCCTCAATGAATATGAGTCATTGGATTTGTCTTGAGCCCCAAGCAAAGCAATCTCCACCTTTGAATTTGCTTTTTGTTCTTCTCTAGCCCAAACATAGGAGGCCCATATGATTTTCAAAAACAATTAAAAATCAAGTTGCATCAAGTCAGCAGGTCCAATGGAGCCCAAGTCTAATTTAGCAATTAAGTCCGGTCCACATTCTTGTGATTAAAGTTCAAAGCTAAGTCCGGTCAATGAAAATCCACATTTAAAGCAGCAATCAATGGTCGGTCTTCATTTGATTTTGAAACTTCCAAACTCTGCAGCAAAGTCGGCCCATGGAGCTTCATTGATTTTCAAAAGAATATGAAGTCCGGTCCATCTATAGCAATTTCATTCCAATGGAGATTCTACAATAACAAGTACGGCCCAATGAAATGATTTCAACTCCAAATCTCTAGCAGCTGGTCTTGGTGTATTCTTTTTTATGGGCTTTGGGCTTTTAAAATTCAAATATTTTATTTTGCTTCTTTAATTTCTCTTATTTCTTCATTTACTCAAGGGCCTGTTGAGAGATGGGATTTTTAGAATTTATTCTTCATTAACCTGCAATTAAAGATAAAAGCAATTATTAGTGGTATATTTATTCTTATAAAATAGATAATGAGGGTATAAAATTATAATAAAATGTGATTATCAAATACCCCTACACCTAAACTTTTGCTAGTCCTCTAGCAAAGAAAAATAAAATAAAATCCTAACTTACTTTTGCAGGAATCGCGGTTGTATTTAGCGCATACAACAAGCCTTTAAACCCGTAGGTTACCCTAGTGGACGAGTTATATATAAAAATGTATATATATATATTTGCATTTTGACAATTATGTGATAGCCTGTGTTTTGTTGATGTTATAAGTGATTTTGACTCATTGTTGAAATATTTAATGACTAAGATACCTTGTTATGTGAGTACACAAGATACATATGCTGATGTTTATTATGATGGTTTACTTTCCAATTATGTTTCCTTTCACTCTTAGTTCAGGATTAATATTTAACTATCTATAATTTTAGATATATGGTATATACATGAGGATTTCCTTGTTTGGATTATTTAGCTCGACGTACTATGTCTCGTATTGTAGGTTTCTCAATGTTAATTCCACGTAGATATATGGTAAATGATCTAGGTTGACTATGTTTAATAGATAAAGCCTCCACTTTATCTAGCAGCCCTTCCCCTGGGGGTGGATGGGGTGATCTTACTGTAGCGTTTTGACACTCTTCTTGTCATTCTTTTTGTTTTAAATTTCTTTTCAGGTAGCTCAGAGTTTCAAAGAGCCGCAGGATGACAGAGTTCTAGTATAGTTACCGTCACGCATTTTAGTAGTTAAGACTCCATTATAGTTTTATATTCTCATTCAGATATTAGAGTTTTATTTTCATATTGTTAAGGCAATATGCCTTAGTATGATTTTTAGTTGATTCATGTTGAGGCATTTTTATTATTCCAGATATCAGATGTATTTTAGATGAGACATGATTTTTATTTATGAGATATCTCTTTCTATATCATGTCTACTAATTTTATCTCATTATTTTTCCTATTTTGTACCAACACTTATATTTGATTCCACTAGAGGATATTACTGTGATTGGTGAAACGTGTTATTACACAGTTTGGGTGCATGACAGGTTTAATATCTCTGGTTTCACCTTAGACTTCTGCCATGTGTGAAAACCAAGGTGTCATAGTTAGTATTAGAGCTCTAGTTCATGCATCCTTAGGATTATCCTGTGTCGACTCATGGAGTTAGAATAGAGTTTCTTAGGATTTATGTATAGAGTCCCCTAGGAATTCCAAGAATGAGTGAGGATGTTATATACGTATACCTCAAAAATTATGAATTTTTTTATGATTATCTTACTTTGATTGAAAAGTATTTGCGTGAATGATATATGATACGATTTTCATATTGTGATACGTTATGCGATATATACATATATGTTTGCGATCTTAATTATTGTGTCTAATAAGCTCTCCTCCCGATAACATAAATGTCAGGATGAGGATGTGGTCGAGGTAGAACTCGTACCTAGAGAGCTGGGTAAGCAGTGCCCGAGTCGCAGCAAGCTCCACAGTATCAGATCGACTTGGTAACGCTGATTATATAAGCGGAGACTAGCAACAATAAAGGAGTGAGTAACAAACTAGACTACACTTTCTGAAGTTCCACCAATAATAGTACCAGCCGTGCCTATTGAAGTGGTAATACAGACAACTA